CAATCATTCACTTTTATAGGTGGTGGTGTGTGTTTGTATTCACATTGTAGGTAGCCATAAACTATGCCCGTGCTATGATATTACTGTGCCAACCCTGGGTACTACCGGAGTTCTTTGTGAGTCTTAGATTTGCACTTTGCGAGAGATTTACGTTTTGTTTCCTACTTAGCACGCGTGTTAGGCAGTCTAACCCCGTTAGATTATGCATAAAGTGCTCAGACACGTACATATTTTTAGTATCTCTCTCCACCCCTTTAAATCCTAATGCTCACAGTGCCAGGCAGACAGGCAGAGGCGAACACTCTCTGTATTATTATCTCTTTCTCAGTCTATTTATCTATACATTGATCAATCTATCTGTCTGTCTGTCTGTCTATTTATCCATCCATGTATATATAAACACACACACACACACACACACGCACACACACACACACACACACACACACACACACACACACACACACACACACACACACACACACACACACACACACACACACACACACACACTCACACACACACACACACACACACACACACACACACACGTTGTACGTGTATATGTTAGCACATCTCTCGCTCTCTCTGTTTCCTCTTCCTTACATAAACAAGAACAAAGGCAAAGGGAGAGCAGGGAGAGTAGGCTATATGTGTACTCAAAGCAAGTAATTTAATATGAGATCTGTGACGAACACACTCACCTTCAGAGGCAAAGTAGGGATCCCATCTTTTGTCTCAGGAAGTCCCCATTGTTGCTCGTACGTAGAGCCTGATGTTCCCTCCCCCGTCACAGAAAAGATTACCTAGCACTCCTCGGGTTAAATCAAGTTCTTAGTATTTCCATAGCTCCTCTAAAATCCTTCCTTTTCCTCCTCAGCTTTATCGCGGGTTTTAACGGAAGGAAAGAGGGGAAGGAAAGAAAAAGGGAAGCAGATTTTTGTGTTGAAGGACTTGAAGTCTTCAAACTTGGTCCTTTTATGTTTAAGGCTGAGGTAGTTACGCGTCAAGTTGGAGCCTTAAATGGCAAGAAAACTCTTGTGTACCTTTTTCTCCTTTCTGTGGGAGACTGACCCGAGTTCTGTCCCGTTTTTTTCAAAGCCAGGTCGCCGTAGGTGTAGGGTGTTGTGTCATAGGCAGAGTCGAAATGAGTTTTGTCTTTTCATGGGGGGAGGGGTAGGTCCTAGTAGTGACCAGAAGTTTTCACTTGGCTTAAACTCTCCCGTTAGTCGAGATTCTCTGTTTTCAACGTGTCTGCCTTTTCATTTAATAGGATTTTACGGTCAGCCTGATTTAATTTTTTTCTTGAAAATGTCTACAGACCTGAATTTCAAGATCCCAACCTCCTTCCCAAAGTCCCTTTTCCCTCTCCCTTTTCCTCCCCATTCAGAGCCTCTGTCTCTTGACAAAGCTCTCTCTCCTCCTCTTCTCCCTCGCCCCCATCTTCCCCGCATCGAAGTGAAGGACAAGCGAAGAGGAAAGAGAATAGGGTAGAGCGACCCGCGAGAGAGCTGGATGGCGAGAGCTCCTCTGCTCTAACTTCCACCTTTTGTCTCCTCAATTACAATACTCGGAGGGATCATAACGCTTATGGATCGTCGAGTATTTTATTGTTACGGGATGGCTGCGAGTCCCGGAAAATGCAAATGGGGAGTTCACTGTAGAGAAATGAACAGAGGGGAGGGAGAGAGAGAGGGGATGAGTAGGGTTATTCGAAAGGAGGGAATAGGGGAGGGAGGGAGAGAGGGGAAGGATGGTAATGTTGGAAAGGGGAAACGAAAGGGAGGTAGATAAAAATGAAGGAAGGAGTGTGGGAAAAAGAAAGATGAGAAAGAGGGAAAGGATGAGATAGAAGAGGAAGGATAGAGAGAAGGCAGCACGGAAAGGAAGGAGAAAAAAAAAAGGAAGTCGTAAGGAGAAAGGAAGAGACAGACTACAGAGAAGAAAAAAAGCCAGAGAATTACGACAGGCGAGGGAGAAGGGAAGAAGTACATCGCCTGGGGAGGAGGGGGAAGTGAGAGGGAAATCTCGCTGCAACAAGGTAGAAAGGGAACAAAACAAAGGGAGAGGAAGGCGCCGAATTCAAAGCAAGAATCCAAGGCCAGATGAAAGAATGCATATGTGCGAACATACTTCAATTTTTTTTTTTTTTTTTTTTTTTTGCATTATTCTCCTTTCTCTTGTTATATTTCCTGTTGCAAGGCTCTCTCAACATTTAGGCAAATCCTTTGGGGTTGCACCTGTCGCCATGCATCCTGCCCTCCACTTCACGCCCTAGCCCGGGCATAGCGTCTCTTCGGTGCACAGGTGCCCCCGTCGTGATACTTGAGTTGGCAGTGCCATTTCATCATTCCATTTGGTGACTTTCCGTCAGACCCATTCTACATCTGGGTGACTCACTTGTCTTCTCCTTCTCCTCTTTTTCTCTCCCCCTCCCTCTCTCTCTTCCTTTCCCACTCCCTCCACCTTTCTCTCTCTTTCTTCCTCTGTCCTTCCCTTC